ATTATAAAACCAAAGCAGATTCTAAATTTATTCAGCCATACCAACGTGGACAACACACCAACTACATACAAACAAGCTGCCAAATTTGAACATTGGCGTGCGGCCATGCAATCGGAATTCACTGCTCTCCAAAAACAGGGAACGTGGAAGCTTGTTCCAGCACCTCCGCATAAGGACATTCTGGGATGCAAGTGGACGTTCAAAACAAAAATCCTTCCAAATGGACAAGTGGATCGCTACAAAGCACGCTTGGTTTCACTCGGCTACAATCAAAAGTATGGTGAAAACTACACCGAGACGTTCAGTCCCGTAGCCAAGATGCCAACTATTCGAATGCTCCTCACATTGGCACTCAATCAAGGCTGGCCTATGCTACAACTCAACGTCCAAAATGCTTTTCTTCATGGCGAACTTCAGGACGACATTTATATGCGTCAACCGCCTGGCTTCACGGACATTAGACAACCACAAGCGGTTTGCAAACTTCAAAAATCTCTCTACGGCCTTAAACAGACGCCGAGACAATGGTTTCATAAGCTCACGGGGTTTCTTCAAACACGTGGCTTCGGGTTTAGTCGCTCTGATCCCTCTCTTCTCATCTTAAATCACAAGCATACGCATCTTTATATTCTAATTTATGTCGATGACATTCTTGTAACAGGAAACAACCCGGCTGAAATAAATTCACTGCTGACTGCTTTACAATCCCAATTTGCACTAAAACAACTAGGCCAAGTGTCTTTGTTCCTCGGTATACAAATAATCAAGACCGGAGCGAACTTCTTTCTCAACCAATCTCACTATGCTACAAAGCTGCTTTGGGACTCCGGATTTGAACATTGCAAAGCGGCTCCAACTCCTTTGGCACCGTCCCACAAACAGCTGACGCCGGAACTCACTCCCTTCTCCGATCCCTCTCTCTACCGTCGCCTCGCAGGATCACTACAATATCTATCCATTACTAGGCCCGATATTGCTTACGCAACAAACTGGGTATGTCAACACATGCAACAACCAACCGTTTAAGACTTTCAATCCCTCAAGCGCCTCCTACACTACATTAAAGGGATTCTCTCCTACGGTTTTCCTATTCGCACAGGTTCTCTTCAACTACGGACCTATACCGATGCAGATTGGGCTTCTGATGCGCAGGATCGGAAGTCCATCTCAGGTTACTGCTCCTTTCTAGGACCAAACGTGATCTCTTGGACTGTTAAGAAGCAAGTAACAGTGGCTAAATCATCGACCGAAGCTGAGTACCGCACTCTCTCGGCAGCCGCTTCTGAGGCCATCTGGCTCCGTCGCCTGGCTGCAGAACTACATCTTTCACAAACCAGACCGACCACCATCTATTGTGACAACATCTCGGCAATCTCACTTGCCAAGAATCTGGTTTTTCATGCTAGAACGAAACACATTGAGATCGACTACCACTTCATCCGTCAGCATATCCAGTCCGGCGACATTCACCTAGATTACGTTCCGTCTCAAGAACAGATCGCGGATGTGCTAACCAAACCGCTCTCTTCCACCCGCTTCGATTACCTTCGATCCAAATTAACCATTTAAACTCCGAATGATTAATTTGCGGGAGGATATTAGGCATCTTATGCTAGCCTCATCTGTAATTTCATATATTTACTTCTCTACCCTGTTAAGTCTATATAAACGGTCACTGTAACCTTATTATGTAATATACTCATTTCTAATACTTTTCTATTACAGAAGTTTCTCTCTGTCTCTCTCTCCTTCTCTCTTTCTCATAAGGATGATAGTTAAGGGATGATGGTCAGAGGATTGTGGTTGGACGACCATGGTTGGAAGACCATAGTCTACGGGTGCAAAAACGAGTCGAGTCAAGCTCGAGCCAGGGGGTGTTCGAGTCGAGCTCGGCTGCCAAATACTGAGCTCGACTGCCAAATACCAAGCTCGAGCTCGACTCGTCTCACGAAATGAGTCAAGTCGAGCGGCTCATTGAGCAGCTGCCTCGTACCCAAATCCCTCTACCGCTCTCGCGAATCCCGCTCCCGCTCGCTGTCTCGCTCCCGCTCCCGCAGACGCGACCCGCTCCCGCTCGCTGTCCAACTCCAGCAGACGCGACCCGCTCCTCTTACGGGAGCTACTCAATGAGCCATCGAGTTGACCAGCCCAGTGTCCGAGCTCGAGCTCGTTTAGCGTTCGAGCTCAAACTCGTGTTCGAGCTCAACTCGCGAGCTCGATAAGTTCGGCTCGTCGAGCCCATTAACGAGTCGAGCCAGAGCCGGCTCATGAACCGGCTTGACTCGGTTGCACCCCTATCATAGCCAAACGATGATGATTAGGGAACTATAATGAGACGACAATGTTTGGAAAGTCCTTAGTCGGTGATTATCAATGGTTGATGGTGATGGTCTGATAGTGGCCTGATAATGGTGATTTGGGACATGTGGAATCTCATGACTCTCTTGAATCTCAAGTTAAAGTTCAAACTTAAGCTTCGAGCTTATCCCCTTTAATATAGAGAGCAAAACATATTCATAGTTTTTTGATGGTGACATGTCTATAAATATAGAGAAAATCCAAAAACATTCTATTGGATAGCCCATATATTATTATATTGATCATAAAATATTTTTTCAACATTTTAAGTGCCTTATCGATGTTGAAATTAAGCAATATTGAGCTCATTCGATTTGTCTCATTTAGCCACTTAATTTGATTATAAGCTTGTCAAATTTGGAGATCATTTGATCTTTCAATTAATGCCTTGAAATTTCTAATATATATTCGTTCTTAGATTTGTGCTTATTTGAGCTCGAATTAGATCAGTTTTGACGTCATTGAATCTGTCTCATAGAGGGAAAATTATTACGTGTGGCATTCAAATTCTCTTAGAGGCGAATCCGAATGTGCCACGTCACTCGGGCCCAGTACATCCGGGTGACGTGGCACGTTCAGATACGCCTCCGAACGGTCTGGACACCGCACGCAATAATCTCTCCTCATATAGACTTTAAATTTGATCATAAATTGGCTATAATCAGAATAAAGATGGTCCTGCACTCCTGCATCTAATGTTTGAAAAATTTTGTATAAAAATAAATGCATGTCATATCAAGATTATTTTTAGTGATGGATGAATGAAAAATCTTGATTAAATATTGATATATCAGTAGAAAGTTATCTTTGATCGGGCACAAATCTCAAGGCAAAAATCAAGTTGGAAGCTTCAAAAATTAAACTGGAAGCCATCTGAACTCAGATTTCAGCAAACTTATAGTTGAATTGAGCGTATCAGAAATACAAACCCAACAACACCAAATTCAACTCGATCCGAGCCAAAATGGGTCCAAATCGAAGACCCGAAGCACATTCGGAAGGTACAATCCATAATTTGGATTACCAAACAGTTTCTAAATATAACATGCTTATAGTCAAATCGAGCGGCTCGATGAGACAAATCCAACGAGCCCAATATCACAAAATTTTGATATCATTAAGACCTTCAAATGTCTGACAAACGGTCCACGATAAAGGGATTCAATATCAGCTGTCCATTCAAACCACTCCACATTTGTCCTTGATCCTCCTACTTACGGGTCATGTCACTCTCAGAAAACTATAAATAGTCCCTCATTTCTTTTAAAAGAGGACCTAAGGAAGCATGAAGAGAAGAGAAGAAGAAGAAGAAGAAGAAGAAGAAGAGAAGAGAATGGGGAAGAAGCTCCTCCTTGACCTCCGTCGGAATTCTGCCCGACTTTCAAGTGACGTCGGAGTTCCGCCCGACTTCCAAGTGACGCCGGAGTTCCGCCTTATCTCCAAGTGACGTCGAAATTCCGCCCGATCTCCAAGTGACGTCGAAATTCCACCCGATCTCCAAGCGACGCCGGAATTCTCCCCGGCCGCCAGCTGATGTCGAACTTCTACTCGACGCCGGACCTCAGCTCGTCGTTAGATTTCTACCTGATGTCGAACTTCTATTTGACGTCAGACTTTCAGATGACATCTATCCGATGTATGATTTCTGTCTATTGCTAGACTTCTACCTGACGACGTTATTCTGACCTCTGTCGTTAGACAACTGTCCTTTTGACCTCCGTTACCCGTCGTCTACGATTCTTCCGACTTACGTCGCCCAACCACTATGGTTCTTCCAACCTCCGTCACTAGACAACATTCTTTATGACCTCAGTCGCTCGCCGACTACGGTTCCTCTAACTTACATCGCGCCACCGACTATGATCCTTCCAACCTCCGTCGCCATACAACGGTCTTTATGACCTATGTCGCCTGCCGACTACGGTCCTTCTGACTTACGTCGCCTACCGACAATATTCCTTCCAACTTCATTCGTCAGACAATAGTTTTTATGACCTCAGTCACCCGCCGACTACAGTCCTTCCGACTTACGTCGCATATAGACTACAATCCTTCTGATCTCTGTCGCTAGACAACGGTCTTTATGACCTCTTTTGCTCGCCGACTACGGTTCTTTCGACTTCGTCGCCCATCAACTATGGTTATTCCAACCAAACGAACATGTGAATATTGACTCTTTGTATTCCCATAATGTACTTCATATAATGTACATCAAGTCAAGGTATTCCCCCTAAGGAAGTGTCTCATTTGTAATCGATTGCAAATAATAGTGGATTCATTTAAAATGGGCTATGCCCCGTGGGTTTTTCCCTTTTTCAGGGGTTTTTCACGTAAAAATTTTGGTGTCTCATCTCTTATTTGATTGCATGCTGGATTTTTGCACAAAATTAAGACGTTAAAGTTTATATTTCTCTTTTGCCACGAATACTCCAGGATGCAACAAATATGATTTTTTTTATTTATTATTTAATCACTTATTAAAAACAATCTATCATTATTATTCTCAAGAATGCGACGCACACTATTATTGGACCAAAAAAATTGCTTGATAAAGAATACATATCATAATATGCATTTAAAAAATAAAAGAAAAATGACTCCTAAAGAACCGCGTGCCGATGAACTGGAATGCGGTCCTGGCGTCGATAAAAGGTCCGCGGGCTCTATGACCGGTAACAGAGTTAGGGTTTTGAGCGATCACCTAAGTCCCTCGTCGTCGTCGCCCATGGCGTCTTCCGAGAAGGACGCTGCCCTCGCTGCCGTCCCTTCCGACGGCCCAACCATGTGAGTTGCTTCTCCTGTTCTTGGAGCCGCACTCCTGTTCGTCATTTTTTTCCTGCAAATCTCTGCTAACCGCATAGCTCGATGATTTTACTTTTTATCCTGTTGATTTTCCCTTTGTCCGCATTATTTCGATTGCGGCCTACCCTTTTCTTTCTTCTCTGGGGTTTGTGCTTATCAATCCCATTCAGAGTGAAATTAGGCGGATATTCAATAACACGTTGTTATTAATATGGTTTTATGTTTAGTTATATCTTGGTTGGCTTCATTTTATCTTCAAGTATGTTTTATCATCTCAATCTTTTGCTCTTCCATTGAGGCAAGGAGTGCAAATAATTTATTGGTAACTGAAATTAAAGCAGTGTGAGTTACTCTGTAAAATTTCTTTCATTCTTTAGCTTTACTGTTGGCTCTGTTCAAGACCTTTCTGAGATATTCCTGTTTTCTGTTAAAGGTGATCAAATGCCTGAAAAAGTTATCTGAAGCGGTGATAGCTACGTCCTTATGTTGATTCATGAAACTCATAAATGCATAACTGCGCTAGGTGATTGCTGACATAGCGCATTGCTGACATTTTTATGCAAGTCAGGTTCGGATGTGAAACATACATGTTTTCAAGAATTGCAAGACATTAATATAAGTTGTTAAGTTATGCAAACTATCTAACAGTGCTTCACCAAAAGATAGAATTATAGAAATCTGTAGTATTCGATTTCGAGAGGCAAAGAATTACAATTAAAATGCAGAATATTAAGATAATTCAAAGGTAGCAACACTTATGACAATAACAACGAATCCACCTCCTAACAATTAAAAAATGTGCCTAGGAGTTTCCCTCACATTCGCTAATTTGGAGTGGACTTAACGGGAAAAAAATTTAGATAATAAAACTGATGCCACTAATAAACAGTAGGCGCTGGGAGTAATGGCCAACAGAGAGTTACCCGGATTCAGCGGATTCGATGGGCGGAGAACAATTAACCACTGGCTGTCGGAGAAGCGTTCCCCAATGGCGGTGGCTAGTTGGAAGAGAACACTATCCACGTATCCTTCCACAAAATTGTCGAGCTCCAAATCTAGGTTGGAGAACGATGATTGTTGGATGTTGATGAGACCCTCTTGATCGTAGACGAGTCCGGGGTCAAGCTCGGGACTCGTCTCATGCTTAATGGAGAGAGGAGGATTAATTTGAATTCAAATGAACCCAAATATGGGCTGGGGGAAGGGACATCAGCTATGGAAGAATTAAGGGAGGAATTAATTGATGCTTATGTGGCAAGTAGAGAGAGAAAGGGAGGAGAGGGGCCGACCAAACAAAAGGAGGGACTTAAGGATTTACTCATTAATTATGGGCCCCATAGGATTAACTCTTGATTTAAATCAAATATGAAATTAATTCGGATTTTTGATTTATTTGGAGAGTTTCCTAATTGAATTTGCATAATAGGAAATGAGTTTTGAATTTCAAAATTGATTGAATAGCAATTAAATCCCTTTCTATTTGTGGTGAGATATTTTAGGAAAGAGTTAACGAGGGGATTTTAATTTTGAAATTCAAAATTCAAACATGGGAGGGAAATTTGAATTTGAATCCCAAATCCAAATTAGGTAGAGTTAATGTGAGGAGAGAAGAAAAAGGAAAGGGATCAATAGGGGGGTCAGCGGCATGCATAGAGGAAGAGGGGTTTGGGGAGGGAAATTAATGCTCCTTAATGCATCAACTCACTTTAGGAAAAAGGTGAAGAAAATCAATCTAATTTAATATTAAATTAGATTCAAAATTTGAAAACTTTCCTAATTTGATGTAGTTAATTTAGGAAGGTTTTTTGAAATTCAAATTTTTGAATTTCAAAAGGATGAAATCTCTTCCCAAAATTAAGTGGATTGGATTAGGAAAGTCTTAATGGGGATTGAAATCAACATTAAGGAAAAAGAGCAAGTGGTGGCCGGTGGTGGGGGTTGGAGAATTTGGCTTGGTCGGAACTTGGAGCAAGGGGAGGGGAAAGCCGGTGGTTGATGGGAGATATGGAGGGGATTGCCGGCAGTATAGGGGAAGAGGGAAGAGGAATATGAAGACTAAAATAAAAGAAGCAAGAACTCACAAAGTGATTGTAGAACCGCGAACCATAGAATCTTCCAACGGTTGACGGGTATTGCTTTCACCCACCTAGTGTCTCTCCTCTCAAGAACTCACTTAGAGATCAAGCAAAAAAAACTGAAATTTTATTCATAATTTATCATCCCTAATACAAAGTCTTGACCTTTATAAATAGGCCTCCATGAAGAAGAAAACACAAAGACAAACATGCCCTCTGGGCTACAACTCACTACATTCCCTCATAGGGGTACAATGACCAAACATAACTAAAATAATAAAATTAATACAAAAACACAAAAATAGAAAAACATAAAATAGCTTATAAATAAATGCTCCTGATCGTGGCCATCGATCTGCGATGTCTCCTATGATAGACGTGCCAGAATCGTCTACTGATGTCCTCATCAGGTTGTGCTTCTGAGCCACCATATGTACCCGTGATCTCCATTCTCTTTCTCTCTCTCTGTTTCTGTCTCTCTCTCTCTCTCTCCCCTTCCCTTTCATGATATAAATAGCATGCCCCTTGTATCTTGCACCCAATAATTGATGTTATTGGATGCGCTTCAACTACATTTTTTTATCATTTCCAATCTATTTGGTTCAAATGTTACATAATATCCAATGTTTTAAAAACTGGACCGAACCGTTTGGTTCGATCGGTTCAACAATGAATCGATCACAAGATCGGTCCGGTTTAGTCTTAAAATCGCTTGTGCATCCAACCGTACTGAACCGCCGGTTCAATCGGCGAATCGGCCCGGTTATTTTGAACCGACTGGTTCAAATTCCACAATTTTTAAATATTTTTTTTAAATAAATATATTAATAACAACATAAACATGTAAAATATATTTAATCATATAATATAAAATAAGAATAATTTATATTAAATTTATAAACTTATGTTATAATTTAATTTATATTTAATATGTAACATAAATTAATAATAATTTATATTAAATTATATATTTATATGTTATTTAAATTTTAATTAAAAATCAAATTTAAGATTTGAAAATTATTTAAATTTAAAATTATCATACTTTCATTAGTGTAAATTCTTATAATTATGAGATTTAGATTTTTTTTGCTTTTATGTGATTTTTTAAAATAATTCTTTTACTTAATTATGTAAATTTTATGTTTTATAGTTTTTTTTAGTTTAATTTTTTGTCTCATACTTTGAATGTTAACATTACTATTATGTTAATTTTATTAAATTTCAATGATATTTATTATTTATTACGTCATCTGGTTCGACCCCGGTTAGACTGGTCAAACCGGTCGAACCGTTAACATCTTCTTCTTCTTTCGGTTCGTTGTCCGGTCCGGTTTTTACAACCTTGCAAATATCAATTGCATGGTTGGCACCTGACACCCTCTGCTTTTGTTGTTGTAATTTATTTTGGTAGAACTTTATTTCCTTTAAAGTATCTATTTTCTCATTCCAAATTTGGATGTAAACAGTTGATTGAAGGTGTATGTTAAGTTGAAAACAATAGAAAATCTAATGTCAAAATTTATGAGATGAATCCAAAATTATTGTTTTTAGTGCTGAGAGCTTTCTTAGAAGTGGCGACTCATGATTTAACTCAATTGTAGTAAGGACTTACAAATGATTAGTTAAAATGTCACGCACACGTGATGTGCAATAACTTGACTGTGGTGAGAATAATGTAAAAATCAACTAGGTCGTACAAACCTGTGACATGTCATAACTTGACCAAAATGTGATGAATAATGGACAATGCTTATGCTTAAAACAATATTTAGGTTTCATCATTATCTTTAGTCTTATTCCCAACAATTTTAGTTTTATGTTATGAATTCTCACTCACTTTTTGTTCCTTTTTAGGGTGTTTATGTCTTTATGGTATTAAAGCTTTTATAGATGATTTTGAACAACTTTGATTTGTGTAATTTTTGGTCTATCTATTTTTCTTCCTATTAATTCCATCGTGAGTGCTTTCCAATTGTCCTGGGTTTCCCCCAAGGTTTGCAACCATTTCATTCCCAGGATGATATCAATACTTCCTAACTCTAGTGGGAGAAAATCTTCCCTTACCTGAATTCCTTGGATGATTAGCATCACTCATCTACAGATCTCCTGGCCTTTCTCCACCTTCCCTGTACCCTTCATCACCCCATAACAATCGGTGTCCACCAATTTCACTCTCAGTTGATTGGCAACCTGAGTGAAAATGAAATTATGGGTAGCCCCACTGTCAATCAAAACAACCACCTCCATGCCCGCTATCTCCCCATTCACCTTCATCATATGACTCGAGGTGAACCCTACTACTGAATTCAGGGAAACATCGACCATATCCAAATGCAACTTCTCCTCCCTCTCTTCCTCTAACTCCCCCTCACCTCCCTCAGTTTCCTCATCATCACAGACGGTGAGAACCTGAAGAGTTTGGTTCTTGCACCGATGTCCTGGCGCATACTTCTCCTCGCACCTGAAACACAACCCCTTTGCCTGCATCTCCTTCTCTGTCAGCCTCTTGAAATTTTCCCCACTCCATCCTACTGGCTTCTCCCTGGTGGTCTCATTAATGTTGCCTGATGCTGGCCCCTTGGGTGCTAGAAGGTGGTCGTCATCTTGTAAGATCCCCTTGAGCGGTTGCTCCTAGCTCCCTTCTCTAGATTCTTATGATTTTCTACCAGCTGGGCCAACTTCATTGCCTCCCCTAAGTCATGAGGCATCAAAACCTTCACTGATGCTCGGATCTTTGCCTTCAACTCCTTCATGAAGTTCTCCTCCAATACTGTTTCTGATAATCACTCCATCATACTGGCTAATTGCTCAAACTGCTCCCTGTAGTCCGCTACTAATCCCTTATGGGCCAGAGCAAAGAACTGCTCGTAGAAATTTCCTCCCCGGTAAGTTTGGAAACGTTCT